TTTGAGTTAATTTGATATTTCAGGAAAAAATCTAAGGTTTTCTTTTGAGTTAATTTGATATTTCAGGGTAAAATTACCCGGCATTTTAACGCATAAAGATTAAAAACCAGTTCCAATGTATCTTTTGTACGTATAGAATTAGTTCTAAGTTGTACCGTAATTGGATAAAGATCATACCTTGATCATTTCTTTCGCAATGCGATGCATATCGTCGTTGATCGGAACATACACTTTCATCATGCGTGGTGAAGCAAGTGCTAACGAAACTTCATTTTTGATTGAATTCAATGATCGGATCAGATCGATTTGTAAATTCATTACAATCAATTGAAGTTGGCCAACTTTTTCAATTCTACAATCCGTATAAGCTAACACTCGAAATCTTGCCTGAAAAAAGATGATTACATACTTATATACTTAAAAAATTAAAAGAAAAAATAATAAAGTTAGTGTATACTCAAAGTATGTGTTTAAAAAGTAAAAATTTAGTTTGTGATTAAAAATACCTAACATCTTATATATAGTTAAAAGCGCATATATTTAATAATTTAGCTAAAAAGGTGATAAAAAATATATGTGCTTGATAACTCAGTTAAAAAAAATTTAATAATTTAGTTAAAAAAGTCAAAAACCAATAATTCAAGCAGGAAAAATGATTATAATTAAATTAAGTTATAATAAATCAAAATGATACTGACATGATCACAAAATCAGAGAACAAAAACCTGTGCAAAAATACAATTTCGAATGAGTTCGCATACTGGATGAGAGCCAGAAATAGCACGATGTGCATCCTCCACCACCACCAAGCACACTTCTCGCAGTGCTTTTTCATTTTTTGCATCGGCCACAAGATTCTAAAACTGGAACATCGGGAAATTTGGAAGCACTGAATCTAAGTTTAAATACCAAAAAACCTGGAAAAACAGTTCGAAACAAAATTCAAAATTTTCTTTTTTTCGCCAGTAATAACGTAATTTTTTCCCTTTTCCAACAGCAATAACTAATATTTTATAAGTCGCACGTCAGAGAAAACCCGTCTCTAAACACTGCAACGCTCT